TGGGGCCAGGAGGTTCCCCACAGTAACATCTCCTGTGGGTTCTGATCCTGTATTTGTTGTCCTTCTTCGTGAGCTTAGCTGGTGACCTGGGGACTCTTCCTGGACAATTAGCTCCAGCCCTTCATCAACCATTTTTCCAGGGGAAAATGGAGGCAAGGACTGAACTGAGGCAGCTCAGTGATGGCTCTGAGAGGCACCAGATCCGTGTGGTCAGGATCAGCAGTGCTCCTCCAGCAGTTCCCCCTTCCCCATCCCTCCAAGGTCTTCCTCCTTCCCCTGTCCCTGCAGAGGGACACTGAAACGTCCCCACTGCATCATCCCTGAGGGGGAGAAGCCCAAACCTGGTGGATTTTCCTCACCATTAGTCAACATGTTCCTTCCCATCTCTGTTTGGATCCACCTCCACCTGACCAGCAAAACAGGAGGAGCCAAATCGTGCCCCAGTGTCCCCTTCCCGACGCCCCCGAGCCCGGGGGCCGCCTTCCCCCCGCAGCTCCCATGGAGTTGGTGGAGCAGGACACCTCCCACGGCCAAAATGCTTCACCCCACCCAGCCCCAGGGTGTGATGTGATGTTCCCCGAGCCCCACGGGGAAGGATCCGGCTCCCCCGTGTCTCCCAGCCCCATTCCCAAACCAGCCAGGGAGGCTTCACTTCCCTCCCCTCTTCGTGCAGCATCAACGAGAGGCAAAGTCAACAGGAAGGCAACAAAAAAAGCTATATTATATATATATACATATATATATATATAAAATATATACAGAGAGAGGAGATGGAATAATAACCTAGAGATTCTCTATTTCTATTGTATATTTATTCTGTAAATGTCACTGTAAATGCTGTTAAATGACAAACTGTATTCCAAAGTGGCCCGTGACCTATTTTCATTCCCAGTGCTGTACAGATCAATTCTCATTCTAGAGAGGGACATATTTTTACCTTTTTATTTCTTGTCCGTGGTGGGTGGGCGTCCCTTTCCCCCCGCCCCCAGCCCAGGGAGGGTCCAACGACCCTGGGCGAATCCTGCAGAGAGAAAGAGGAGGAGGAGAGAGAGGAGGAGGAAGGGGGACGACGCCTTTACTTTTATCTGTGGAAATACTGTGTTTTGTCGTGGCATTCGGTGTTAGACACGGGGTGTTGGGGGGCGGTGTGTGTGTGGGTGTGTGTTTTAAGTGGTCCGTGTTGTCGCGTGTGCGTCCGTGCGGGGGGTGTGTGCGTGTCCGTGGGTGCGCCTGGGTTTAGGATTCACTTCTGGCTGTTCTCTCTCACTTTCCGAGCCTGCCTCGGGGGTTTCTCCCGCTCGCCGGGGCAGGTTCTCCCTCCACACTCCTCCTCGGGGTCCCAGGCTGTGGGTGGGGCCGACCCCCGGTGGCTTTTAGCCCCAGAAATCCCGTTTTTTCCCTCTCTCTCTGCACAGAGGCACAGGGAATAGCTGCTAGTTGTGAGCACAGGCACTTTTCAGTTTTCCTTCAGGCAGTGGGACGAGGAGGGGGAGCCGCTGCCGATGTCCCTGTCCCCCCACATCCATCAGCTCCCTGCCCGGTTCCCAGCCCAGGTCCTGCTGCCGGGAGCAGTGTGCTTTCCCTGGCTGGGGGACAAGGAGGTGCTGGGGGGATTGGGAGGGGTCCAAACCCTGGGGACAGAGCTGGGGAGGGGTTCAGTGGGTCTGGAGAAGGCAGAAAGGAGGTTGCAGGGGGGGCCCTGCCTTGTGATACTGGTCCAGCCTGTAGGGCTGGAGTTGGGATGCTCCATCCCCCAGCACCGGGCTCTGCTCCAGGGGCTGGACCTTGATCCCGGTGCGAGTCAGAGGGGATGGCTGGAGCCAGGTCCCCAAGTATCCCACGGCTCCTTCCCCTCAGTCCCTCCAAAACAGCCCCTGCCTCCCCTCCCAGCCCTCCCCCAGACCCTGGCAGGCCACGTGGAACCCCAGCACCTCCAGGAGCAGCTCCCACTGCCTTCTCCTGTCCCCGATCCCTCCCTGAGCCTGGGTCTCGCTGGCAGGGGTGGGAGCAGAGCTGGGTGGCCTTGGTGGCCAGGACAGTGGCCTTGGTGGCTGGGAGGGACCAATGCATGGCCACGGGAGCCCCCAGGATGGAGCTGCTTCCCCTGGGGAAAGCACAATGCTGGCGAAACCCTCGTGTACAGGTAAAAGCACAGATCCCATCGTGACACATCCCTGTATCCCCGTAGTTCCCATCGGGCTCCTCGGCCATCGAGAGAAACCCTGTAAGAGCTGTATCAGAGTCTGATTAAAAGTCTCTTCTTACCAAACCTCTTCTCACCAAGTCTCTTCTCTGCCTCTGTTCCTTTCTTGGGGTGGGCTTTGGGGTCTCTCTGAGGTTTGGGGTGGCAGAGAGATAAAGCCGAGGGCATCGTTGGCATCCAAGGGCATTGGGGTCTGTCCTTTCCTGTCCTGTCCCCACTATTGTCCTTCTGTATCCCCTCACTCCTTCCAGCATCAGCCCCTGCAAGGGGCTCGTTCAGAGCAGGAAGGTGCTTCAGGAGCATCGGGGAGGTTGTTTTCCATCCCGGACCAGTTCAACCAGTACACACTGGCTTTCTGGGGCACATGGACTGGTGAGACACAGCGTCTGCTCCTCTGCAGAACACCCAGCCAGCAGTGCTGGGGGCTCATCCTGAGCCCTGGGGGTCCTGGGAGTCTGGAGACTCTCCCTGGAGAAGGATTTCCAGCCATCCCAGATGCCTTCAACTGCTGGGAATTAGCTTGGCAACAGGTTTGGTGGGGAGAGGGGCTGCCTCTTCCCTTCTTTCCCATCTCTGGTAGCTCGTTTGGCTTCTGCAGGGCTGATCCAGCCCAAGGGAATGTGAGGAAGGGGGGAAGAATTCAGGATGTGTCCCTGGGCACTGGGGATGCCATCGGGGCACTGCCATGGCCACGAACTGAAGTTGTCCCCCTGCACTGGCAGCTGGGGAGGAGCAGGGCAGGTGTTTTGGGCACCTTTGCACCATCTGGAGATGTTGGTGCAGGAGTGGGGCAAGTGTCTGGCACAGCTGGAGGAGCAGCACTGCTCAGGGAAGGGGCAGGAGGTGGCACGGGGGGTGTCTGTGCCCAGAGGGTGTCCAGGACTCAGCTCTGGGGGAAAACACCCCCCAGGAGCGATGACCAGGACAATGGGACAGGTGGGACAGCTCTGACCCTGCACAGCCCTGCTCTGGGGGAGCAGGGATGGAGATCCCAACTCCCCCTCCTCCTTCAGGGGGCACGGGGGGGATGCAGGAACACAGGGCAGCCCCCACAGAGCCCGTGGGCACCCACGGGAGGGGTCACTGCTGTGCTGAGCTGGCCGGACTCAGCCCTTCCTGTGCTCCCAGAGCGTCTGGAGTGGCCGGAAAATCCCAGAGCACCCTGAAAACAGCTGAAAGAAATAAACTTGGGGGGTAGAAAAACAACACAGAAATGGGTCCAATTGTAGAATTTAAGCCAAATAACTACTTTTTGGAAAAAAAAATTAACTGAATTTCCTGTGGCAGTGAGGGAGGGAGATTTCAGAGCCTGGTGAGAGGTGAAGGTTGGTGCTGTCGGAGCAGGGGGTGGGGTTTGGGTGTCCCATCTCAAAACAGCTCTGGACCAGGGCACGGACACACGGTGGAGCTGCTCCAGCAACATCTTGCTGTGATTCCCTGAGCACCTCGGAAAGAGAAAGGACAGTTATCCTGATGTTCAAAGACAGGGAAACCGAGACACAGCAACAGCTCCCGCACCTCTCCCGTTCATTCCAAAGGCAGACGATCTCCACCACCGTCTCTGCTCCAGCCCAGCCTCCTCCCACTCCCAAATTGCTTTTATGGAGCAAAATTGCATCAGCGACGCTGTGGATGGAGCCAGATTCTCCCCAGAGCCAGCCACGCTCCCGTGTTTTCCCTGCCTCGGCTCCAGCCGGAGCGCAGGACACAAGATGGCACTGTCAGACAGAGCACGGGGACCTCGCCGGGAATTTGGGAAGCTTTCCCTGCCTGGGAATCAGGGGATGAGTGAGCTCCCTTTCCAGGGAGAGGCCGCAGAGGGATGGGGCTACAAACTCTGTTCAACCTGTGCAGCTAAAATGGGTAATTTTAGCTGGAAAATTCACCCGGCAGAGGCAGATGGTGAAGATAGACCTTACCCAGGGCACGTGACAGCTTTTTTTGGAAGACCCTCCTCCAAGAGAGTGCCCAGAGAGGCTTCTCGGGGCTCACACCCTGGGGAGAGGGTGCTGTGGGTGCCACCACCCAAAGATGCCACCACTGGAGATGGATCTATCCCACCAAAAACATGATGGGAAGAGGGCAGAGACCTTGTTTGGAGCACCCAGGGGTTCCTGAGGTCAACAAATCTTTTAGTAACAGAAGCCTGGGCTGGAAGGACCTGGAGAGGTTGGTTTGGCTGGTTCTACACCAAAGCAGGATTGTCTCTCCCTAAAGTGAGGCACCTGATCTACATTTCCTCCTCCATCCCTTCATGGATGGAGACATGGCAGGATCCCAGCATGTCCCCAACTTCTCCAGGAGGCCACTCAGCTCTCTGAGCATCCCATGGCCCGTGGTGCTGGTCTCTCCCACCTCTGGGGACTTGCCCAGTGGACCATGGGCAAGGCTCACAGTGTTGGGCTGGGTCAGGGGGTGAGACCAGTGGGGTGGACCACAGACCCCTCAGCATGTCCTCAGGACCCACCCAAGACGTGTGGCTTTCCAGGTTGGAGCTGATCCTCCTTGAGGTCTTCCAGGTCCTGCTCTTCATTCCATCCTTCTCCTGGATGTTATCTGAGATGCCCTGAGCCTTGCAGGAGGTCCCTGCAGAAGTGACTCCCTCTTGCTCCAAAAAGGCCCTTATTCATCCAGCTCTTGCCATTTTCTCTCTTTCTCTCTCTCTCTTTTCTTTTTTTTTTTCTTTTTTTTTTTTTTTTTTTCTCCCGTGGACATTAAAAATCCAAAGGCATATTTGGAGAGCAGACAGCTTTGGGCGGGTGTTGCTGGGCTAAAAGATCTCTTCCTTCCCCAGATACAACCCATTTGTCTGCCTGGCCACCTCCTCCCACCCCGGGAACGGCCGCGCTTGGGTGCACGGAGCTCTCCCCGGCGGGATGAAAAGTCTCCGGATAAAAAATTAGCCGCAGGTCGCAGCATTCCTTCCTCCTGGCCAAACTCGCCTCGCCGCCACCGAGGAGCTGAGCTGCGATGCCTGGCCGGTGATGCAAGGCTCGATTTTTCCAGCACGGTTTTCCCTCGGGCTCCAGGCGCTCCCGCCGGTGCAGCTCCGGGTGCTTCGGGTGTGGAGCTCCGCCAGCCTCCACCCGCTCGGGATCCGGCCCTGGAAGCTCTGGAGTTGCAGGCACAGTTGGAGCGGGGCTTTCTTGGTGGTAAGATTTGAGCGTGGCTCTCGTGCCCCGTGGGTTGTTTTTTTTTTTTTTTTTTTTTTGGGGTGGAGCGTTTGCCCCAAACCACCCCCAACACCCCGTGGATACGGGGGGCACATGTGAGGGGACAAAACTGGGCAGGGGGTGACCAGGGGACCTGGGGGGACGCACCACACAGCGCTGGGAGGTGCAGAGAGAGATGCTGGGGCAGCACCCCCGCTCACTAACCACAGCCCTCACCCCCGCCCCGCACCAAGGACCCCCTTATCCAAGTGCTGATCCCTCTGGATCAGCCCCCCACCCCAATAACAGGCCTGTGCTGGGCTTGGATCCCCTCCATGACCCCCAGCCCTCCACTCGCACACTCCCCCCCCCCCCCCAGCATCAGCAGTGCCAGTGCAGGAGTAAACAGCACTGGCACGATGAGTCCCTCGGGTCTTCCCCAGGGTGACAGCCTTGGCCCCTGGGGCACCACAGCTTCTCCCCAGCCTCAGGAGCCGGGAGTGAGCGCCACCAGCCCCCCGGGGGTGTAGGACCCCCCCAAGGAAGGGGGTTTAGGGGGGAGAGCCCCGGGGGTGGTCGTTACCCCGGGTCCCAGCCTCGGGGCCGCGGAGGGAAAGGGACATCGCTCACGCAGGAGCCGAAACAGGGCGGAGAGATGCTCGGGGAGGGCAGTGGGAGGGAAGGGGGGCCAGGTCTGTCTGCGGCCCCCCAGCTCCCCACCGGCCCTGGGGTCTGTCTCTCCTGACCTCTCGCTGAGCGAGGGATTGCGAGCCAGGGAGGGATGGGATCTGCGGGAGCCTCTGCCAAGAGCTGGCTCCAGATCCGCAGGCAGCTCTGGGCTGCATTTCCCCTCCGGCGCGAAGCGGAGCTGGGGTGTCCGAGGTTCACTCCTCGCTGACACCGACCCCCCGAGACCCTCAGCGGCACGTCGGGCCCCGCGGGGAGGTGAGCGGTGCCCGGGGGTGCGGGGGACCTGCGGGGAGGCGGGGGGCTGGGCTGGGGGTGGGTGGAGGGGATGGAGGGATGGATGGAGGGATGGGAGGATGGAGCGGAGGGAGGGATGCGGGGATGGGAGGGAGGGCAGCGGCGGGGGCGCCGGGGGGGGGGGCTGCGGGGCTGGGCGCTGGGGCGGGGGGTCTCCGGCCCCCCGGCGGGGCGGCGCCGGCTCCCGTAACCCCGCCGCTCGCTCCCAGCCCTATAAAAGCCCCGCCGAGCCCCGCAGCCGCTCCCGCCGCCTCCCCCGCGCCGAGCCCCGGGAGGCACCGCCGGGGAGCAACAGGCCCCCCTGGCCCGGCCACGCGTGAGCGGAGCCCCCCCGGGGAGGGGGAGCGGGAGGGGAGGCGGAGGGGGCGCATCCATCCCCTCCTCTCCCCGCCGGGGACCGGGGACTTGCCCCCCGGCCGCCGCCCCCTCCCCGAGCCCGGCCCGGGGGGGGTGAAGGGAGCCGCCGGAGCGGGAGGGGCGGGCGGCGGAGCCCCCCCCGCGCCTGGAGCTGCAGGTACCGGGCCGGGGGGGACGCGGCGCCCGGCGGGGCCCAACATCCCCCCATCCCTTCCCCAGCATCCTCCCGGCTGGGCCCGCAGCCCCCCCCGCCCGCCCCGGGCCCCCTCCATCCCGCACTTGTTGCTGCCCGGTAGGGCTGCACCGGCTCCCGGTTTAGGGCGGTTTTATTCGGGGGGGTGGTTTGGGAGGGGGTGGAGGTTGCAGCCTCCCCTGCTGTCCCCCGGCAGCCAGCGGTGTCCGGCTCGGCTCCAGCTCGCTCCCCCCGAGGCCAGAGCCAAGCCTGAGCCCCCCCTTTTCCCCTCCCCAGTCCCATCTGTGCCCCCCTCTCCCGCCTCCGCCGACCCCCAGCTCCTCGCCCGGAGGAAGGGTGCGCGTTCCGTGCATCTCCCATCCACCGAAATCTATGATCAGCTCGGTGTGTGTCTCCTCCTACCGTGGACGCAAGTCTGGGAACAAACCACCCTCCAAAACATGCCTGAAGGAAGAGATGGGCAAAGGGGAAGAGTCGGACAAGATCACCATCAACGTGGGGGGCACCCGGCATGAGACCTACAAGAGCACCCTGCGGACTTTGCCGGGCACCCGCCTGGCCTGGCTCGCCGACCCCGACGCCCAGAGCAACTTTGACTTTGACGGGAAGAGCAACGAGTTCTTTTTCGACCGCCACCCCGGGATCTTCTCCTACGTGCTCAACTACTACCGCACGGGGAAGCTGCACTGCCCCGCGGACATCTGCGGGCCCCTCTTCGAGGAGGAGCTCACCTACTGGGGCATTGACGAGACCGACGTGGAGCCCTGCTGCTGGATGACCTACCGGCAGCACCGCGACGCCGAGGAGGCCCTGGACATCTTCGAGAGCCCCGAGCCCGGCGGAGGGGCCGGTGGAGAGGAGCCCGAAGAGGAAGGGGGTAGGGAGATGGCCTTGCAGCGCCTGGGCATGGATGACAGGCCCCCCGGGGCGGCGGGGGCTGCTGGAGGGGGTGGCTGCTGTCGGAACTGGCAGCCCAAGATGTGGGCGCTCTTTGAGGATCCCTACTCGTCCAAGGCGGCCAGGGTAAGATCCCGGAACGCGCCGGTGGGGACGTGGGATGGGGCCCTGCTGGGGTTGTGTCTTCAACTCTCTGTCCCTGTGGTGAGATGGACTTTTCCTGTGGTTTATGTGGGTGCCCTCACTGTCATCCCCCTCCTCCCATCGGGCACATTGGCCGTCCCCCATCCTACAGGACACCTCTTCCATCATCTCCCAGTCTCCTCCCAATGCATCACACCTGGGGATGCTGGGCTGAAACTAGAGGCAAACCCAATCCCTGCCTCCTTTGCACCCTCAGGTGCTGCCTGGGCACCTCTGGGGCATACGGAGGTGAGGGATTGCTCTTGGAAAGGCTGAGTCTTGGCAGAGGCCAAGGATGCTCCAGGACAGGCAGAGTGCTTGGGTTCCTCTCGCTGGGTTATGGCCACGCCAAAACCCACGTTCAGTGGCCGAGGTGTGGAGAGGGGGTCAGGGCTGGTCCTGAAGCAAATGGGATCCTCATGACTGTCCCCAAGGAGCTCGTGCTCCTCCTCTGCAGCAGCAGCAGCCCTGAAGGACACCCTGTGGCCCCCTGTCCCCCACTGTCACCGTGTTGATGCCTCCCACGGTGCCCATGAGGACCCGGTGCCCATGAGGACCCGGTGCCCATCAGGACATGGTGCCCATCAGGACGTGAGAGCACAGGCTCTCAGCTGTTAACACACAAACCCCTCCTCCCCAGCCTCCCCCCCCCACCACGTCCCCAGGGCCCCAGTACCATGTGCTCACACACGTGAGCAGGACCCTGCACCCACAGCCCCCCCGGGCCTCCCTGGGCACGCAGACAGTCCCTACCCATGGGCACTGACATGCCCGGGATGTTTTCCCCAAAACCAGGCGCATCTCCAGGCTCTCTGTGCATGTGTCTCCTCTCCCAGCTGCTCTCAGATCATCCCCAAAATGCTGTCCCCCAATCCCCAGACACCCCTCTGTACCCACCCAGTCCCATCCCCCGTCACACCCAGCTCATAAACCTGCCCCCCACACACGGACGGGCATTTGGGATCAAAAGGAATTCTGGATGCACTTAGAGGTGTAAAAATCCCCCATCGATGGCAAGAAATCCTGCAGGCATTTCACACCCACCAGCAGCACAGGGCAGGGGTCGGTTTGGCAGGGAGGTGTTTTTGCAACACACACCCGCAGAGGATGCTCGGGCAGGGAGAGCTGAACTCTTCCTAAAAGGGGGGAACCCGCTCCCTTGCCCATCTCTGCGGGCTCATCACCTCAGGGAGATGCCGAGTGGTGCAAAGCTCCAAATAAAATATTCAACAAAATTAAAAATAAACCCAAGCACAATAATTCAACTCCTTACCCCCCACCCCCCTACCATGGTGTTATTTGGATTTGCTTTTCCCGTGTTTCCTGTTTTCCTGTGTGCTGAGCTGCTCCTGGAAAGGCTTTAGCAGGAGGAATGTGTTGGAGGGAGCAGAGATGGTTGTGATGGAGCCCTGGCTGGGGCTGGAGTGGGACTGGTTTGTACTGGGAGCTCCCTGCTTCCTTCTCACTGCTCTGTGCTAAAGGCTCAGCAATGCCAGGGGAATGGTCACCTTTCCAGGTCACCACTGGGAAAAATACCTGTGTGGCTTGGGAGAAGGGGAATCTGAGGCACAGAGCAGTGAAACCAACCCCAGTGAGTGCAACCTGCCCAGTGTTCCCCATTTGGAGTAACCATCCAGCACTGGGATGTTCTGGGGTCCACGAGCACCTCTGTGGGTGCAACATTCATGGTGCTGCCCTCATGTTCTGGGCTGGTGAGGTTTGGGGTGGTGGTGATTTCTTTAACACTGCCCCGTTTTGGGGTGGGGAGGTTTGGGGTGGTGGGGATTTCTTCAATTCTGCCCCATTTTGGGGCCTCCTCCTTCCTTTCCAGAGCCAAAGGGGTGCTGCTGGTTGCAGAGAATGCTCCAGAGCAGCCAGTCTTGGTGCATTTTGCCAAACCTTGGGAAGCAGCAGTCCCAGGGTGTCCATGCAAACCCTCAGCTGTGACTAAGAGTCTCAGGAGCTGAATTTCTCCTCCCCATGGAGCAGCCCCTCGGGCCCTGACTCAGTGGCTCCCTGCTATTTCCATCTTTCCCTCCCTCCAGCACTCCTCCTGAGCTGCCAACTGCATGATTAGAAATCCCTCCCGAGTTTTTAGCCCCTTTTCCATGTCCCATTGATGTCCATGGGATCCCTGGCTCCTCAGTCCAGTCCACTCCCAGGGAATCTGGTCCCTGGTGCAGCTGCTGTCCCAGCCGGAGTTTAACACTTTTCCTCCCCACAAGAGACTGCCCTGGCTGGGATTTCACCTCTACTTCCAAATTCCTCCTACTTGGAGCTTCTCATCATTTTTCCCCATTTGGGGACCCCTGTCCTTGCTTCCATGGGCACTGCCAGGTTGGTGAGCCCCTGTAGGCCTCAAAGAATCCATGGATTCTTTGGGAACACCCATCTCAAGCTGTTGAGTGAGGCTGAGATCACACAGATCGTCAACAGGTTCTGCAGGACTTGTTTGTGGGAGTTCTGGTGTGTATGGTGGTACTGGGTGAATACACAGATTTGATTTTATTTTAAAGACATTTTGGAAAAGAACTTGAGTTTTGAGCAGAGACTGAGACACCTTGGGTCAGACACAAAACTGGAGCAGCACTGTTGGTTTGGGGGGGGGGACACGATGGTTTGCACTGGCTGTGAACCCGACTCTCCTATTTTTAGAGGTTGTTTTTGCTCCTGGAGCTAAATCAGGTCTCACCTCACTCTCACACAGCAGAGCTGCTTCATTACCCGAGTGTTCACAGGGTATCACCCCCTTCCTTGGTCTTTTATATTTCTTCCTACTTTGCTTTGAGTCCGAGTTTTCACTCTTGAGGTTTTCCCGAGATTTCCCAAACAGGGAAACTCAGGAACATGAGTCAGCCACTGGCTGAAAGCGGATTATTTTGGCTGTGCCACTGTTGTGTAGGGACACTTGTCTGGCTAAACTGGCCTTCAGAGCTCACTTTTTGTTGGATTTGCTTCCCAAACTGCATGTGGCTCATCGGCCTTCAGAGCCACATGTGATCCAGAAGGGTCTGATTAAGGGGTGAGGAGCATCTCATCCCATCCCTGAGCTGGTGTCTGGGGTGGGAGACTCACCTTCCAGAGGTTTCTCCAGCAACTAATGCCTGGTTTAACCTTCCCACCAAACCCTTGATGGGCTGACACTCCCTGTGCCATCCCCCCATGGGTTTGCCCTTGGGGACACCCCTCAGGGATGCTCCTGGCAGGCTCTGGGCTTCCACTCCGGGCTTGGGTTTTTCTCCAGTGTGACTCAGGCTCTCTGTGCTGCTGATTCACTCCAGCCAAGGGCTGGGGCTGTCTCCTGGAGCAGCCTCATGGAGCAGCTCTTCCCAGCGCAGCCGCTGGGGTGGCTTGGACAGCAAATGGTCTCATCCTGCTCAGTGCAGGGGCAGCAAAGGGGCTGGAGCAGGATCTGCTCCCAGGGAGCCAAACCCACTGTGGTTTCGTGCTGGAGGAAGGTGGAACAAAAGCAAGAGCTTTTCTGCTCAGAAGCTTTATTTTTTTTTCAGGGGCTCTTGGAAACAGATGCTCTGGGTAAAGGACTCATCATGAGCTCATCCTGCCAGGAGGGGGCTGAGCAGGATTGATGGGGCACCACAAGGTGGTTCTTTCTGACACAGCCTCTGATTTCCACCCCCCTCGCTGATATCCACGAGGAGGAGGTGGCGTGGAGGGGACAAAGGTCTCACTGGTCTGCCAGAGGGGACAAATGGGAATATCTGGGTGTCACCAGGCCCAGGCCTCAGCAGGAGGCTGAGCTCTGCCTGCTCCTCTCCTTGTCCTGCCCTCTCAGTCCTGGGACCTTTTGTGGGCACATCATCCACCACGGACCCTTGGGGAGCAGGAATGGAGTGAAAGGACATCTCTGACACATCCAGACCCCAAACCTCACAGTCATGAATGATGAGAACCTCTCATCTGGTGTGGTTTGGGATGCACGTGGGGGAGAGTTCTTTGACTTTGTCCTCTTAAAATTTAAGAATAAAATTCTTAAATTTTGTATCTGTTCCCAGCGGAGTCTCACTCTGATCTCAGGCTGTTCCAGGTCTCACTTCATCCCCATAACTGTCATTTCTGGCACATCTCCAGCCACAGCTGGAGCCCAGCTCACCTTGCCATGGACAGACCGTAGCACTTGGAGAAAGGTTCTGGCCCCAGACACTGAGGTTTGCTGCCAACTCCTAGGACAGGTCCAGGAACCCTTCCCTGCTCTCCACCCTTGGTCTTGGCGCAGTGGGTGGCAGCTCCCGGGGTGTTTTGAGCCTCCCCCAAAGAGGAGAGGTCGCCCCACACCACTCATGGCCTGTGTAATTCCTGCTTTCCCAGGTCGTCGCTTTTGCCTCGCTCTTCTTCATCCTGGTCTCCATCACGACCTTCTGCCTGGAGACACACGAGGCCTTCAACATCGACGTCAACGTGACGGAGACCCTCGTGGTGGGCAACACCACGACGGTGCTGCTGACGCACAAGGTGGAGACGGAGCCCATCCTCACCTACATCGAGGGCGTCTGCGTCCTGTGGTTCACCCTCGAGTTCCTGGTCCGCATCATCTGCTGCCCAGATAAGCTTCTCTTCGTCAAAAACCTGCTCAACATCATTGACTTCGTGGCCATCCTGCCCTTCTACCTGGAGGTGGGTCTCAGTGGCCTGTCCTCCAAAGCCGCCCGGGATGTGCTGGGCTTCCTGCGGGTGGTTCGCTTCGTCCGGATCCTCCGGATCTTCAAGCTGACGCGGCACTTTGTGGGTCTCCGGGTGCTGGGCCACACCCTCCGCGCCAGCACCAACGAGTTCCTGCTCCTCATCATCTTCCTGGCCTTGGGGGTGTTGATTTTCGCCACCATGATCTACTACGCCGAGCGCATCGGGGCCAAGACGTCCGACCCCACCGGGAGCGACCACACCCACTTTAAGAACATCCCCATCGGGTTCTGGTGGGCCGTGGTCACCATGACGACCCTGGGCTATGGTGACATGTACCCCAAGACCTGGTCGGGGATGGTGGTGGGGGCTCTGTGCGCCCTGGCCGGGGTCCTCACCATCGCCATGCCCGTGCCCGTCATCGTCAATAACTTTGGGATGTACTATTCCTTGGCCATGGCCAAGCAGAAGCTGCCAAAGAAGAAGAAAAAGCATATACCCCGTCCAGCCCCTCTGGACTCCCCCACCTATGGCAAATCCGAGGAAAACTCCCCCCGGAACAGCACCCAGAGCGACACCTGCCCGTTGGCAGTCGAGGAGGGGGCGGCTGAGCGGAAACGGTCAGGTGAGACCCCAAAGGTGGGGAGCAGGGAGGGGGAGGCCTCCAGGAGCACCCAAGGCAATATTTTTGGTGCCCTGTGACCCTGGGGATAGCGCAGGGTGTGGCCTCCATCTCTGGGGTGGGTGAGAACTCGGTGTAGAAGGGGCTGGGACCTTTGAGTGTGAGGGTGTTGGGGGCCCTATGGGTGGACCAGGATGCTGCAGATCAAGTCCCCCCTCCAGGAAAGGGGGGAAGGCCATATCCTGCTCTTCCAAAAGACATACCATGCTCTCCTAATGGCATAGAGCAACTCACCATGGTGGGATTCCAGGTGTTCCTCCATTGCCCACCTCTCCCTCACGCTGAACAAAGGTAAGGCCACTTGCCCAACTCCCATCTAAGCCTGGCCATGCCCTTGGGATAGATTTTCCTTTGCTTCCTCCCACCATAAATCATGGAAACCTCCATCAAAATGGATAAATCCATGGATGTTCCCTGGGGCTTGACCCTACCTCTCCATTCATTTTCTGGTGGACACAATCCCTGCACGGCTGTTCCAAATCCTGAGCAAAACCAGCCCCTGGACATTTATTATTTGTTCTCATCCTGAAGTTTGGGGTTTGGCCAGTCCTTCCTTTGGGTCGGGATAGGGCATGGCTCCAGTTGTGGGCAGCTGTTTGTGGGCACCACCCCCTGGGCTCAGTCTGGGGGTCCCTGAGAGCCCTGTCCTGGTGTCACCACTGGCCATGGCAGCTGCTCTGCCCTTTTCCTCTTGGTTTGCTGCCAGTGGCACCTCTGGAACAGCTGGAAGAGGAGGGACCACGGAGGGGTTGTGTCCTGCACCAACACAATCTCACTGAGGTCAGCCCTGGACAGCTGCACATCTGGAACATGTGTTTAACAGTGTCCTCCATCTGTGGGAACACGGGGAGCTCTGAATGCCCCAAACAGCTTTTTTCCTTACAAATCTCCCTTTTCCATGTGCCTGCACATCCTGTCTGCCCCAGGAGCCCTGGCAGAGGGAGCAGGAGCTCTGAAGGAGCAGGTCAACCCTGTCCCTTCCCCCTGCACCCCCAGGAGCTCAGGCCAGGCCCTCCCATGGCAGAGCCTCCTCTCAACTGAGGAACCAGGAGTCAGTGACATTAATTAGCACCTCCCACTGTCCCGAGCAGCCGGTTCCTCCAAGAATTTTTGCAGAGCTAATTTCCACTAATCAAGTGGGTGGATCTCAAAGACCTGGGGGGTTTCCTCCTTAGCTTTGGCTTCACGCAGGGTTTATAACCCTCAGCAGGGGAGGAGCTGCTCTTTGCTGCTCGGAATTAAGTCTGGGATAGTTCTGCTCCCCTGGAGTTAATTACTCCAAATTAACTTGTCCAGGCTGGGATTGTCCCTGAGTTGGTGGGTTTTGCCTGGACTGTCTGCAGCCTGGTTTCATCTGCTTCCTTGAATGGTCTGACCAAACCCTTCTGGCCACCACGAGCACCTTGTTCTGTGGCTTTATCAGCTGCTGATGGGTCTCTGCCACCTCCCTGCAGACTCCAAGCAGAACGGGGAGGCCAACGTGGTGCTGTCGGACGAGGAGCAGCCGCTGTCACCGACGGACGAGGGGAAACGGCCCCTGCGCCGCTCCAGCACCCGGGACAGGAACAAGAAATCCTCCACGTGCTTCCTGCTGGCCACGGGGGACTTCTCCTGTGCGGCTGATGGAGGCATCCAGAAAGGTACGGCTGGAGGTGTGAGCTGGCAGGGTGAGGTGGAGGAGAGAGGTGGAGGTTTGTTGTTGATCCAAGGCAGGAGTTCATCTCCATCCGCCCCCCTGGCTCTCCTCTGCTCCCCAAATCCATGTCCTCCTGCCTCTCCATCTGCTTCATCTCCGTCCACCACATCTCTCTGTGCTGGCCCCACACTTTTTGTTTTCTCCTCCCCCTGATAGCCCCTGTTTGGGGTCTGTGACCCCTGCCCTGCATGGGGACAAGTCTGTCCCTTTGCTCCCCAGTGCTCCAACTTCTGCCCCTCCAACTCTTCTCCCTGGGCTTCAATTGTCCATCTCAGGGTGGTGTGAAAGGGACATCTCCTGGGCACGTGGTGAGGTTGTGGCTGAAGGTGACCAAAAGGTTTTCAGTAGGGAAAAAAATCCCCATGTTTTCCTTTCCTCTCCCCCCCCCCCGACGGCTTTCGGTGGGTTCGAGCGTGGGGAGCTGTGATGTGTCAAGTGCTGCCTTGCCAGAAGCTCTGGGCTGCCAGAAGGGCTCCTCTGGGTTTGAAAACGGAGCTGTGCTTAAGTGTTGAGGTTTTCCATGGGAAACTGAGGGGGAGATGAGTCAGGAAAACACAAAACTCTTCCTGCCATGAGAAAACAAAGTCCCCTTCAGCCTGGTCCCAGCCTTCTCTGCCCCTCTCCCACCAACTCGGCCCCTGTGAGGGTAAATCCAGTGCCACAAAATCCAGTTGCACCCTCGATTGCTGGGATAATGCTTAGGGCAGGGCTCAGATTTTTAGCTCTGCAGGTTTTTTTATGTGTTCAGGCTGCTGCCTGTTGCTCCCAGGGAATGGTGCCTGGAGCTGGGATGAGGCAGGAGGAGGGATGAGCTGCTCACCAAGACCTGTTGGTGCTTTGGAGACCCTCAGGGATCTGATGCTTGTGGAAGTGGTTGGGATGGTAGAGACTGGATGGGCTTGGGATGCAGGGAGGTGTTTGGGGGCAATCACACTTATCACAGTAGTAAAAGCAAATTGGTTGTTTCCTCCTGGGAAATCAAGGATTCCCTTTGGCATTCCGGCTCAACCGTAGAAAAGAGAGAAAATTAAAAGCTTTGTTCATCTTTGGGCAAATACTGTCAAATATTTGCTTGAAATGTTTCATGCTTTTTTCCTGGAAGTTCCTTTTCCTGTGAAGTTGGTTTCTTTTCCTAATGCCTGTTAATGTGAATATGTGAGGGGGCTCCAGTCCTGCTCCAGACTGGGAGGGGGAGGCTGAACTGGAAGGGATGAAGGAGAGGGATGAAAGCCAGTGCTGATCGTCATCCTCAGAAAATGCTGAAGTTGGGCATCTCTTCAGCTGAAGCATTTGAACCTGGCCCCACTGGGGCCTGGAGGAGCTCTAAGAGCTGAGGATCCAGAGCTGCTCTCGCTGCTCCCAAATCCCATTTCTGGGTTGCAGGAGACCAGGAGGTTTCTCTCCTTTCGTGGTGGCAGCAGCATCTGCTGGAAAGGGCACTTTGGTGATTGTTTTTGGGGTGTTCTGGTGTCTTCCCTGCAAATATCAGAGTGCTTTTTACAATTTAAAACAGAGGTGTCCATGGTTCACTTACCCCCACGTTGCTGCAATGGTGTTGCACCTGGAGACAGGTGGATGCAGAGGGGCTTCAGAGGTGCTTGGGACCTTTTGGGAAGAGGGAACCTCAATGCCTGGGTCCTGCTGGTAGGATGGGTGGGATGCTGTGCCAGGAGGTCAGGGGGAAATGCTCCAGAGCTCAGGGGTGACCAGAGGTGACCAGGGGGCAGAGCAGCCTCCAGCCAGAAGCCGTTGGGAGCCGCAGAGGATCCTCTTCCCTCGCTCCTGATTTATCTCCTGCTGAGGCTGTTTGTTCTGGTCCTGGGTTCTTGGCAGCTCTGCAAATTGAGATGAGCTTGGTTCTGAGCCCGACTCGCTGCTGGCCATCTGTCAGATCCTGGGACAGGTACTGGTGTCTGTGCAAGCTGTGGAAAGCAGGAGATGGAGCTGGTTCAGGAATAAGCTGCAGATCTCGGTATTTATCATGGATCAAGCCCAATTCCAGTGGTTGGTCTTGTTGGGGAAGCTCAAAGAGAAGAGTTACTCCTGCCCACCACCCCTTGGACCTGGGCCTGGGGCACACAGAGCTGGGTTGCTGTGGATTCCCATGTGGAATGTGTTTCTTGCCCCTGTGGATGATTCCAGTGGTGTCCCTTTGCTCCCTTGATGCCAGGGATGGTTTCAGACCCCTGATCTCCCTTCAGCAGTTCCCAAAAATGTGTCCTGCTGGGCCCAGACACGTTGGCATGAGTCTGCTTTGGAATGTGAGCCTTGTCCTCTGCTTGGATGGAGGGACAGGGAGGCAGGAAGAGCCCAGCACCCCCAATGCCAGCGAGGTGGGTTATGATGGAATCATGGAATCATTTAGGTTGGAAAAGAGCTCTGAGTCCCATCGTTCCTCCAGCACTGCCCATGTTCCCAAGTGCCACATCCACGTGTCTTTTAAATAACTCCACCCCCTTTATCAGCACACTGATGTGGCTCAGCAGCAATTTTTGACTCTGTGGCCAAACCCAGAGTGTTTGCAGATTTTTTTCCTCTGTCTCTTGCTGTCAGTGCAGGGCCATGACCTGGGATGGAGCTGGGGATGCTCCAGTTCTGGGCCCCTCAGTTCAGGAAGGACATTGAGGGGCTGGAGCAGGTCCAGAGAAGAGCAACGAGGCTGGGGAAGGGACTGGAGCACAAGTGCTGTGAGGAGAGGCTGAGGGAGCTGGGGCTGTTCAGCCTGGAGAAGAGGAGGCTCAGGGGAGACCTCCTCACTCTCTGCAACTCCCTGACAGGAGGGGGGAGCCGGGGGGGGTTGGTCTCTTTTCCCAGGCAACGATCAGCAAGACAAGAGGGCTCGGTCTTCAGCTGTGCCAGGGGAGGTTTAGGTTGGATATTAGGAAGAATTTCTTTCCAGAGAGGGTGCTCAGCCATTGGAATGGGCTGCCCAGGGAAGCGGTGGATTCTCTGTCCCTGGAGGTGTTTAAGAACAGGCAGGATGTGGCATCAGTGCCATGGGCTGGGAACCACAGTGGTGTTGGATCGAGGGTTGGACTTGATGATCTTGATGATCTCTGATGATCCCTTCCAACCCAGCTGATTCTATGATTCTGTGATTCTATGATTTTTTGATTCTGTGAGCTTCCACTGGCAATGCCTGGCTGGGAGGAGCAAGGAGCAGCCCAGGCCCAGGGCTGTGTTAGGAACAAGCACAGGCATTCCCGGGCACTGCTGCCTCCCTGCTTTACCCTGTCCCACGTGCTCCCACCTCCCTGCCCCTGCCCTGGGAACTATTTCCTGAGGGAAGCCCAGCCTGGGAGGCCCCTTTGGGGTCACACAGTGTCCCCTCACTCTCTTTATAGGCAGCAAACCTGTTTGTAAAGCAATCCCAGTGACCTGAGGTAGCACTGGAGTTACTGGGATTCTGGCTCTGCTAATGAACTGCAGCCCTGGCAATCAGCAGAACACAGCCCCCTGGGGCTTTGTGGCTCCTCCTGTCCCTGAGCTTGGTGGAAAACCACGATGGACTTGAGGGATGGAGCCCTGAGCTCCTTCCCAGGTGCTCCTGTGAGTGTGGCTTGGGAATAAACTGATGGAGAGAATGGAGCGCTGGGCTCGGGGAAGGTTTGCCCTTGGGGTTGCAGAGGGTCCCTGGGGGAATCCAACATCTTTATGAAGTGCTGCCCCAAACTGTGGTGTTGGAGACTTAATCAGAACAAGCAGCATGATTTTGGCCCTATTCCTGTACCCTTTTCCAGCCTTTTTTATTCAGAGAACGGAGCAAGAGGGCAAAGATCCTCCCTATAAACTTGGATCACCATGGAGGCTCCAAGCAAGCCTCGACCCCGTAACTCCTCCTGCCAAACTGGTGCCGTTTGGGTGCTGGATCCAGGGTTATCCTAAGCTTTCAGGGACTGTTGGATCTCAGCAGGATTGCTTCCCACACACACGGATCAGGGTGGCAGGGAAACGTGAGCTCCCCAGAGAGCCACAGCTCTCCCAGGAAAAGAGCAAGGGCTGAGGAAGGATGAGCCTAATGCAGTTTTTTGGGGGTATTGGGGGGAGCAGGAGGGTCTTTGCATCAGCTGCTGTAGGTGAGAAACATCCCCAGCTCCCCCCAGCTCAGGGCTGTGCTCATTCCTTCCCCTCTCGCTGGGTGGATCCAAGCCAGAAAGTAAATCAGGAAATTGCTCCTCTTCTCAGGGGCTGATTCTAGTCCTGCTTCCACTGCAGAGACTGGGAAAGCTTTGCTAGAGTCAGCAACAGGTTTGTCCCTCTGTGCCCTGGACCCACCTCTGCCTGAAAAACAAGGAGCTTCTCAGGGGGCTGAGTGGTGGGACGGGGTTGAAGGATCCTCATCCTCCCTGCTGAGTGCTGGAGATGAGAAATGATTAGGGAAAAAAATATTAAAAGGGGATAAAAATCAGGTTTAAAGTGCTCTGGAGCTTTTTCCAGGTGACACTTTGTCTCGGCCTCCTCCTGGGGGGTGATGCTGTGACTGCTCCGGGGTGAGCTGATTCCTGATCCCAGCCCAAACCAGCCTGGCCAGACCAGCAGAACCCAAACTGCCCCCGGAGCACCCCGGGGGTGGGACACAGGGAGGGGTTCCAAGCTTGGCACTGCCCCAGGGGCCATCCATCACCCTGTTTTTCTGCTGTCTGGAGCCTCTCCCTGCGCTGCCCCTGTACACACCCCGGCACTTCCACGCTCCTGCTTTCCCTGGATCCTGCTGGTGCTCGGGAAGGGCTCAGGCTTGGCTGGGTTTGCTCACCCAGGAAGATGCAGGCGCAGGGACATCGGGCTCACCATGGCCAGGAGCATCATTAATTTTCCATATTTTGGCAGCAGATCCAGGGACAGACTCATCTGCAACAGTGCTGCAGGTTGGACCTAAAAATCCAATTTTCAGTGCAAATACTTAGTGCCTTTCCAGCAAGAAAAGTGGCTTTTGACCTGTGAGAG